CAAATACACAAATGAGTGATTACATTATAGCCAAGTAAATTAACCGTCAGGTTTCTGTTTGGTAAGATGAGGTATAAAGCACTCTTCTCTTGTAGCTCTGCTCTCTACCACTAAAGACTTACTCCTTCCTCTCAATCAGCTCATTTCAGAGGAGGGTGAAGACATCCCTTTGGAGTGCTTTGGGAATCTTCAGGTTGAAAAGTATAGGGAAAATTGTTATCATTTGAAAAGTGGGAGGAATGCTGCGAGAACACTGTCTGTCCCTGGGATCTATTTTGTTAACTACCTAGGCAAGTGAGGGAGAAAAGCAACGTAATGACTCTGAGCCTGGGCCAGCCCCTGTGAGCTCAGCACTTTTCTCTGGGGATGCAAAGGAAACATTACACTTATTTCACATTAATGTGAAAAACTGACACAGCTGCCTATACCCTCCCATGCCATGGCTACATGGTAAAAACCACTAGGGTTCTTGGAGCTTTATACTTTTGTTATTCTTCACTTGCGTTCAGGAACTGATTTATTACTGAGGCTAGAGAAGAGGAAGAGAGGAAAAGCTAAACATTTTGTATGCTCTGCATCTGGCAAGACATAAAACACTCCAATTTCAAGCATGGGACAGGTCACTGACAGTGACAGACATGGCTGGCAACATCTCAGTTCAGCAGCAGTAACTCATCATCCAAGCTGAGTGTAATTGTCACCAGGTGTCAAGTCCCTCTGTCTCCGGCTGTGGGGCTTCAGGCTTCCAAGGAAATTATCACATGAAATTCTCCTATACAATGTGGTTTTTGCATTTGCTGGGACAAACTGACACCAAAGCAAATCCCCTCTGCATTCCTTTTGACAGTTAATATCTCTATTGAATTCTCCTGAGTTTCACAGAGAGCAGAGAATAAAGAAAACAAGTTTCTCCTCTCAGTGGCTGAAACTTGATCACTTTCATTTAAAAGGGCTGTGAAATGCAGTAACTTACATTGCATCAGTTTCTTCTGAAGAAGACCTTGGAAGCTATTAATGTCCTTTGCCCTGCTCAGGAAGAGCAATGCCTCCTCTCCAACTAACTAGAAAGCAGACAATGATCCTCATCTCCAGTGTAATGCAGAAGATAAAGCAATTAATAACAAGTATCAAGAGCTGCAGTTTATGCATTTGGCCCATAATGGACCCTGTGCTGATGCACAGAAGAGGACTGACAAAAGGTAAAAGCATTGTATGTTAATGTTTTTAATGAATCACAGGTATATGTGTGAGGCCATGCTGATCACATAAAAACAGTCAGAAGCTAATCAAAGTATAAAATGAAATTACTTATATTTAACTCTTGCTGAATTACAGAAATGAAAAATATGTGTTGTGCATTTTCATGAACATTTCAAATTTTCAATACATTTCTAGTATTAACTATCACTGCTACATTAAGAATCCTATACAGGCTGGAAATTTACATGTCTTATGTTTTCCACCGCTCTTTAGCAGAATTTTCCTCCAATTAACATTAGATGGTTATAGAACATTTTAAAACAATGGCACCACTATTAAAAAAATGCATAAAAAGTTCATTTGAAAGATCTGCATTAGTCTTCTGAGCTATTACTCTGGTTAAAAATAGTGTTTTGGCAAGGAATCAAGCTAGAAGTAAACCAAACTTTCTTGTTTACTAAGAGTTCTTGTGTAGTTGTATAACAGTAGTATGGACAATAGCTATTAACGCTTCTGATATTTCTACAGTAGTGTACAAAGACCCTTTTCTTTTCTTCTGTAAGGAAGGAGGAAAATTACTCTAAAGCATCCCAAAGTCAAGAACTGAAGCTGCATTAATTAAACTAAAAAGAAAATGTGGTTACATGTTAGAGAGGTAGGGGGAAAACCAACCTTGAGAATAAAGCCCACTCCTAATTAGGTTAACTTGGTAGTTTTCAACAACTCTGCAAGTAAGATCAAAGAGATCTTCAAGAACACCTTAAAACTAATTTATCAACTGCCAACCACAAAAACAAAAATATTAAGATCAAAAAATGATCTGGATAAATCCATAATGTAATTCATTACCCAAAGCTACTGCTACCCTGACTATGCCCTATGGTGTACCAAGCATTCACAGTACTGTAGATGGTGACCTGGTAAAAGTTTGGCACAAGAACATGAATAAAGCGTTTCTGTTCTCCTATTTCCTTTCATTGCACCACAGAAGCCCATAAGCTGGAAGGGGACCTTTAAGCCATCTGGTCTAGTCCCCCACTCAAAGCAGGTCAAATTAGAGCAAGTTTCTTAGGGCCATGTTAGGTTTGGTTTTGAATCTTTTGAGTCTCTGAGAATTCACATAATCTCTGGACTGTTGTTCCAATGTTTGACCACACTTTTGCCTTATATCTAACTGCAATGTCCCACATTGCAACTTGTGTCCATTGCCTCTCACCCTCGTCACCTCTCACCATGCACCTTGAGAAAAGTCCAGATCTGTTTTTTCCCATTAGATAGTTGTACCCTCACATTAGACAGCTGTCAATAGCAATAAGGTCTCCCCTTAGCTTTCTCTGAATAAACCCAATTCTCTCAGCCTCTTCTCATACATCACATGCTACAGTCCCTTAACTGATCTTGTTCCATTAAGTCAATGTTTTCCCTGTACTGGAGACCCCACAACTGGACATGGTACTCCTCACAGGAGCCGAATGCAGGGGAAGAATCCCTTCCAGCAACCTGCTGGCTGGATACACTTCTGCTAATGCAGCTCAGTATGCAGATAGCCTCTGTTGGGACAAGAGCACCCTGCTGATTTTGATAGGTGGGGAGGTTTCTCTAAGAAGAATGAAGAGAGTTCCTTTTAATCCTGCCCCTATAGAAGCCTGACATTCTTGAGAGATTTTTTAGCACTAGCTTCCTAAATCTATTATAATAGGATGGTTATTCCTAGCCTATGTGAGTTTGCTGGCAGGCACGGGTATTCTACAAGCAGAAAACAACCAGGATCCCAATAATATATGTACCATAAAAGCAATGCAAGCCATCTCTGTAATTATTTTCTGATGTTCAGAGATATATTTGTTCTCCTGGAGCTCTTTTCCTTTGTTCTACTTGAAACCATCTGTAGTACAAAAGATTAGCCTTTGTGTCTATCAACCTATTATGCCCTGTTAAGCCAGCAGGACCTTCAGATGTGAACAAATCCTAGGGTCCAGCCAGAGTACCACTCTGCTGGCCTGCTTCAATCAGAAGAGTCTGATTCTTAGCTGAGTATTTTTAAAAATCAAAATTGGCCAGTACGAGAATCACTTGACTTGTACCCTGCACACTTGAGAAGCATAACACCAGATTCAAATCTGATGTAACTAAAACCAAAATGTAGGTTATATTAGACAGAAATTATTTTAGAATATTTGGATCAAATACTCTGTGTCCATTACTGCTAGGACTCCAAATATTTGTTTCTTTTTCTCTGCTAAATACTCCCATATTTTTACTTTTTTGTGTGTGTGGAGTTGTTTTTTCTGCCTTTGCAACATCCTGATCAGATTGTGTTTGTCTTCAGCAGTAGCTTACACAGCATACATTAAATAAAGATTATGAGAGTATACAAAACAATACAAAGCCATATTTTGGTGGTTTTATTCATGTTAGAGAGCATCAGATTCTAATGTGGAGTCATGTTTCAGACAAACAATATTCAAGAGAAGTATTAAAATTTTGATCAAATACAATAGTACTACTGCTGATTTCTGTCTCAAAACTCATATCAACACATTGTGTCTTGCACATAATTAACATCTATTGGAATCATAAAAATGTGCAGAAAGTAAAAAGCATAATGGATTTCTATAGACATCTTTGTAGACAGCAAATATGCTTAAACAAACTTTTCTGAAAACTGTAAGTTGCATGGGTCAGAGGTGATTGCAGATTGTAATGCAATGAAGGGAAATGAGTGTTGCAAAGTTTATGTATTGGGTTTTCTGTGAGGGGTTTTGGTTGTGTCTTTGGTAATGGGGAAAGGGCTACGGAGATGGCCCTTTCAGAAGCTACCTGGAAAGCTCCCCCTTTGCCTTTTGTCAGACCCACCTCTGACCAGGGCCAAGCCAATCAGTGCCCCTGCAAATTCATGTATTTAAGGGAGGTGCAGGTCATGCCTAGCTTTCTGTCTGGCACCGGCCCTGACCAGCGTGGCCCCAAGTGCGGGTGGCGCGGCCCGGCCTTGCCCGGCTGGGCTTGGCCGGCC